CTGTGAATCCGACCGAGCAAAGAAACTCCGGCTATCACGATTCGATCGAATAATACATGAGAGTATAGCAATCGCGTACAAATCGGTCGTATTATGTTTAAACGAAGAGAGGAATTGCCGTGATTTCGAAAGTGGTTGCCGACAGAGAACGCGAGTTTTCCCTCGCCGTTTTATTTCGCGGTCAACAACAAGCGAAAGGCGAGTCCAATCTTCGTAAACAAACAAATCGAATATAACATTTACAGCAATTATTATCGCAAAACACAGCGCTGCGACAAACAAGAATATTTATTGCGCTACGTTTTCTTCGTAAAGTACGAAGAAACGTCAAAGTCAGCGTTTCGTTGCAAGCGCAAAACGCTGGTTCGCGGACTTTGACATTAAAAATGCAGTAATTTACCATCGAGGGAGTAACAAAACTATTCGGCACGTTCGTTTGTCCGAAATCACGCATTACGGAACGGATTCTCCGTGTCAAGCGGCTCCCTCCTCGTGTGTTTATGTCCGTTTTATCGGATTCTCCTGCGCGCCGTTGCTCGGCGCTTTTAAGAGAGGCGCGATAAAATGTTTAACGCTATGTTGAACACTTGTGTTAATTGATTCAAGTGACTCCGGGCCGCCCATTGAATTCTGTTTCAATTGGAAGCCCGTCGCTTTGACAATGCGCCGCCGTCAAAGGGAATATCGATTAAAACTTCGCTTCTCGACTTCGCCCGCGCGAATTGCATTTCTCCCGGACACGTTGCTCCATTCTTTGCTTCGCGAAACGTCGAAGAGCTCGCAGCTGCGCCGCACGCTTATGCATATTTATGCGTCGCGAAAAAACTGCGGGACGCGGCAGACTTTGCCAGACGAGCGTCGTAAAAATCGGCGGACGATAGTAAAACGTATCCGCGAAGCGGCGATACTCGTTGCGACCCGACAATACCTATTTTCTAACGCAGAGTCGCGACAATTTTCTGCCGAGATCGTTGTTCGTTTAAAAGCACGATTTTGTACAGTTTTTGCAGCGCCGCGTGTTTGTTTGTTAATTTAATGTTGCAATGTTTCTTTCGACAAAACAGAGAGTATTATATGCTATCAAAAATTTGCAGCATTTTTGCTACTGTTCCGCTGCATTAATGCAATTAGCCTGCTCATTTAAGAATAGAAATTTTATCTATATATATTATCTTATTTTTATGTAGTATGTATGTATATATGTTATAAATTATTATAAATATATTATATATATATTATATTATTATAATTATGAATGTATTATATATTTATAATGATCTACGGAGATTTAATAAATTTTTATTGAAATGAATTCACTAAATTTATATAAAAATTAACTATATAAAATTATATATAGATATAGTGCAATTTTGTTATGTTATATATTTTATTATATATATTTGAAAATTATTATTTCTTATTATATCTTATTTTTATGTATTATGTATTAATATATATTTTAAATATATTATATATATTATAGTATATTATTATAATCGCGTAAATGTATTATATATTTATAATAATCTACTGAAATTTCATAAATTTTTATTGAAATGAATTCACTGAATTTATACAAAAATTAACTATATAAAATTATATATAGATATAGTGCAATTCTATTATGTTATATATTTTATTATACATATATTTGAAAATATTAGAAACATTTCTTAAAAAGATACTATTTCCATTTCTATATGTCGCCATAAATATTTCCATTTTCATTTCAATTATGTCAGTCGATATTCTATTACCGGCTTCGATATTTTGCTTGCCCGGAATCCGCTCGGAAAAACTTCGAAACGACCGAAGATGAATTTCGAAGACGTCTCTCCTGCCACGTGGAAATTTCTCCGATGGAACTGCATACGGTCGTCGATCCACTCAGCACGCATTCCCGGGCAACTTTGCATAAAACCAATCGCGGAACAGAAAGGGGAAAAGAAGCGGAAAAATTGTGAAGCTACGCGTGCCCGTATCCATGCGTTCCGTGAACTGTATAAATGAGTTCGAATATTAAAATGGCAATCGATAACGGCATAAACAAAGGAAAATGGAAATCGGCGAACGAGCCAGAAAAATATTCGACCCTTGGAAAATATTTATCGCTGACGCGAAAGACGGAGCTTGTCCGCCGCGCTTTTACGTAGCCGATCATAAAATTGCAGCGAGCGGCTGCAATTTTGCCGTGCGATCTTCGTTGTTATTTCATTCGGTAACGATTCGCACGATTTAAAATATTCAAGGGATCAACTTTTCGACGGTGCTCGGTATCTGATAGGGATTTTCGGATTTCCGTTGATCTTTTTTTATTTTTTAAACAAAACACGGGCGGTTCGTGAACTCAAAATAAAAAATTTATTAGAAAGAGCAAACGGTATTGAAGCGTACATAGGTCAAACATTGCATCGTTTTGTTGTAAATGTGAAACTGTGCCAAAAATGCTGCTGAAAATAAATTTGAAATTTTCACAAATTATTCGTCGGCGCAAAACAAAAACATGCGTTTAAAATTGAAATTAAATTTACAAATATAAAGTATAAATCACAGCAGAGAAAAAGATACGGTTCGATTTAAAGATGAAACTAAATTTACAAATTTGAACGACAAATCGGCAGATAAAAATGCAGTTGCATTGTGCGCAACTTAATCCATCGGTGCGCAAAGTTTCAGAATTTCTGGATTTTGGGCTTCCCGAAGCTCCTTCGCAAGAAAGGACAATGGATCGGGGTTGTGCTTGTCGGATGAGAAGCTCGAATTCCCGTCGGCGAATAAAAAGTTTAATCCGGGAATCTGTCAACGTCAGCGATCGTGCATAGTATTCACCCGCCTCGCCGTGTTCACAGTTGCATAAACAAGCTCTCCCGCGATTATTTTGGCCCGTTCGGACGTCATGCTCCGCGAAATAATGTGCAGTATCGCGGTGATCATTCATATCTCCGATGGCCGTTGCCTTCGGAGCTCGGTTCCTGGTGGACATCTGCCAACTCGCATCACCAAGATAGCTGATATGTAATTACGCAGCAAGCTTGATCCCCGATAATCGGCCGAAACAATGAAAATACCACTGCACGAATTCAAACAATTTAATATCGTCCAAAATAAATATTTCAAACGCAGTTTCTGGAATTTTATCCCAAACAGTATAAGAATCGTCAAAGCAGGAAATTCTTTTTTGAAAAAGGGAATGCGAATTTTATAGTATATATTTTTTCGTATTACTTTTTCAGATTATTCGAATAAAGATTTTTTCCGAATTATTCGAATTATTCGAGTACAAAATTATTCGAGTACAAAATTAGTCGAGTAAAGAATTATTCGAATTATTCGAGTACAAAATTATTCGAGTAAAGAATTATTCGAATTATTCGAATACAAAGTTATTCGAGTAAAGGATTATTCGAATTATTCGAGTTCAAAATTATTCGAGTACGATATTATTCGAGTAAAGAATTATTCGAATTATTCAAGTACAAAATTATTCGAATTATTCGAGTATAATATTATTCGAGCAAAGAATAATTCGAATTATTCGAATACAAAGTTATTCGAGTAAAGGATTATTCGAATTATTCGAGTTCAAAATTATTCGAGTACGATATTATTCGAGTAAAGAATTATTCGAATTATTCAAGTACAAAATTATTCGAATTATTCGAGTATAATATTATTCGAGCAAAGAATAATTCGAATTATTCGAATACAAAGTTATTCGAGTAAAGGATTATTCGAATTATTCGAATACAAAGTTATTCGAGTAAAGGATTATTCGAATTATTCGAATGCAAAGTTATTCGAGTAAAGGATTATTCGAATTATTCGAATGCAAAGTTATTCGAGTAAAGGATTATTCGAATTATTCGAATGCAAAGTTATTCGAGTAAAGGATATTATTCGAATTATTCAAGTACAAAATTATTCGAGTAAAGAATTGTTCGAATTATTCGAGTACAAAATTATTTGAGTAAAGAATGATTCGAACAAAGAATTATTTAAATGATTAACAAATTACTATTAAAGAATTAAAAAATGTTTAAGTTAGAAAATTAAATTTGTTCTACAATTAATTAATGGGCTTCTTTAACTGTTTATTATGAACAGATAAATAGTAATAAGTCAGACCTTTGTCTCCATTTTCGGACGAAACAATATTTCAGTGCATTTCGCGGTGCATCGACTGGGTTACGTGGATTAGCGCAATTTATTTCGATTACTGCACACGACGCGCCGAATCGCCGCGGATATCCGCAGAAAATGCGAGCAACGGATTTACGACGCGACCGGGAATAAATTTCTGTTTTAACTCATCGAACTGTCTCCGCGCTGCGCCGGCCTCCTCTAACCGAGCCGGTTATGCATTTCGATTATGCGGCCCGCGATCGCAATCCCATCGGGCCGTTCAAACTCAACAATAAAGTTCGAGCTGAGTGAAAATGTGAATAGCAATTTTTCTGGAAGAGATAGAAAATTATTTACCGGTCCTCCAATATTCCGCGCTATTGTTTAAACAATCCTCTATCTTGTCTCCGAAGAAATATGCGGGTAGAAAAATGTACGTATAAATAATTCACGAGGGAAACCCGGTTTCGAAATTAATTTACGATGCGGTTGAATGGTATTTCAATAAAAATATGAATAGCAATGTTTCTGGCGAACGAACAGCCGCGAAAAAATTATTTTCTCTCCGCCGAACATTCTGTGTTATTATTTAAACAATCCTCCGGCCTGTTTTTATAGATATACGCGGCTGGAAAAAATTTACATATAAATGATTGGCGAGGGAAATGTCGTTTCGAGAAATTATTTTCCGCCTCCTAAATCATCTGTATCGATGTTCGAACAATCCTGCGTTATATTTTTAAAGAGATACGCGGACAGAAAAATTCCCAGATGAAAAATCAATAGACGAATATAATTCTGATCGTGCGGAAGACTGTGAACAAATTATTTACCGATCGAGACGCCCAGAGTCGACGAATCTCGAGAAAACAATCGTTCCTGTTTGGTGCGACTTCTCGGGGAACACTGGAACGTCAGTTTGCCTCGCGATTTCGTCGAATTATGCTTCCGGCGGGCCGGACGGAGACACGTTCCATTTGCCGAGGACATTAGCGGCTTAGAAAGAGGGCAGAGCGAACCGAGATGCAGGAGTATCGATAGCTAACCTAGCCGAGTACGATGTCAGTCGGGACGAAAGTCAGCGAGACGACCACTTGCACATCGGAGTCTGACGGTGTGTCCTCCTAACGTGTTTACATTGAACGGTTCCCAGGAAATTATAAATAGTATTTATTTATTTATTTATTCTCGACATTCGAACGAGTCGAACCCATTTAGTTGCGACGCCAACAACGAAAGTGATAACTGGATCGCGGATTTTATGCGTTTATGCTAAAAGTGTGTAGCTGAAATATAAAATTAACGCAAGAAGGGTTTAATGATATGGTTACGCTATTTTCAGTTTATTTGAATGATCAAAGGAAACGGTTTCTTTTTATTTCATTTCTGTTGCTCGTGATCGTCTTGGACAGTTTTTATTTTGCATAAAGATCCGCAGTCTAGTGATAACTGTCGAACAGATGGCTGAGAGCAAGATAACAAACGGTGACAAATAGAACGATAAAAAAATGGCTACGGTAGAGAGAAACAGAATACAGAAATGCAATGGCTAAAGTTGCAAAATCTTTGCTATTATTTGAATTCGATGGATTCGATGATAGCAATCAGTACCGAAAACGGGACCATTCGCGGCACACCAGCGCCATCTAGCAATTTTCCCAAATTTTCCGTAGCCTGTTGGTGAGACAAGCAGTTTTTACGCGCGCCATTTCGGTACTATCTCTCCATCGCTCACGAGGGCATTTCGTAGGGAATATTTTCGGCCCGTAAACACGAAAATGCCGGGCGTAAAAAAGAACAAAACAACGAGACGGCGAAGTGGGTTAAGATCCCCCTAACCTCAGCGTTTCGAGTCGCCGATATAGCGAACCGGTCTTGCTGAATCATTTCTCTCGAACAGAGTGTTTACCTCTGCCCGGTTCACGTGGGAAATGATCGCGTTGCGCTTTCTCGAACGCAGACGGAGATTACGAGACGTCCAGCGAGGGCCATATCCGTCCCACCAAAGGGAAATCGACCGGCGTCGATTCTGCGGCGTTGTTACGTTCGGAATGCGATAGGGCAGGTCCAAGATCGGAGGCAGAAGAGTCGGCGAATACATCGAGTAGAAGATCTTCGTTGATCAAGTCCGAGTCCATGCCGTTGCTGACGAAGTCATACTCCAACGAAGAGGACATCGACTCGGGACAGGTGGTGCAGACGTCCGAGTCGTCCTTGGCTCGTCAGAGGAAGATCAAGGTGATCGTGGCGAAGATGGCGCCACTGTTGTCCCCGTGGTCCAACCTGAGCTTCGCTACCTCGGTCGCTTCGAAGACTAACGTGAACGACGAGGCCAGAAAAGTGGAGTCCAAGATGACGATTCTCGAGGTGATTCGGAGTCTAAAAACATTAGATAGCAGGCGTTTTTCGCGACTGTTTCTTTGCAGCGTCTTTTTTGCGATGATCATGATGAAACAGCTGGGGTCAACTGGTACCCAATGACCTATAATACCCTAATCTTCACTTGACATCGATTTTAGGACACAGAAAGTAGGCCATATTTGCGAATTTTTTGCAGCGAAACTAGGCGACCTAGATCCAAAATTCTTATTGCATTCTATTCAGGCGTGATCCAATAATGGACATGAATTTTTGCGTCGCGCTGGGGCTAACGGTGCTTACGCTGCACAGCGTTGACTGCGACACAGTTTTGGGATCTTCCAGCAAAGCTGGAAAGACCTCTAAGTCCCTACAGGTTTCTATAGGGTACTTAAAGGTTCTTAGGGCTCCTGAATCTTTGATACTTGTTAAAAAATTGCCAGCCAGTGTCTTTGCGTCGAAAACACTCCCATCCACCAATACCTTTACCCCAGAACCCAGCGCCAGAGTCAAGAACGTGTTCCGCAGACCCGTTCCCAAAGACGTCAAACTGCGACGAGTCCTTGCGAACAGGATCAACCTCGGAGCAGGCGAGTCAGAGGTCACCCAGCCTTGGCACAGGAGCCTCGCAGAATCTGAAGTCGCAGGCGGAGTTGGTAAACATCGCGCAGAATACGCACTCGTCCATCAAATCCTTCTATTTCCCACCGACGACGCTGAAGAAGGAGGGCACGCCTAGTCAGTGGCGGGCGAAGAAAGACGTGGACGCTCTCCTGAGGATCGACGGGGAGCTAGCTCCCCTGCAGCACAAGCTGAACGAGATCACTGGCAAGTTCCGGGCCATGAATCTCACCGATCCGTCCCTGCTAAGTCCGGGGCACTACCCGTCGTGCGCCGCAGCGTCATCGACCATGTCCGGCTACTATCTCCATCGAACGGAGCCCTTTACCCGCGACTTCAGCCACCAGCACATGGCTGGGCCATGTCTCCAGGTGGTCAGCAACCCCTCCTGGGAAGACAGAGCCGCCAACAGCCCCGGCAGTCGACCGGCGAAGCCACTCGTAAACGGAAACACCAGCACGGGACACGATTCGCTTGCAGCGGGGAGTTCCACTAGCAGAGACGCTGTTGGGCCACAGAACAGCTCCGTGGCATCCCGACAGGAGTCCAGTAGCAATTGGGTAGCTGGAGAAAGGGACAGCTTCGTCAGCATGAAGAACTCCTGGTTCGAGCTCGACGACACCATCCAGAAGGACCCCTCGGGGTCCATGATCCCCGTAGTCAGCAGCTCGTGCTACAAGTGCCAGAGGTCCAGAGCGGATGATCCGCGGCTAGGATACAACACCGACTCTGAGCCCAGCGGAACTCCGTCCATAGAAGACCCTAGACAGACCTATAACAGGTACAACGTACATCGGGTCACCGAGGCTGGGCCAAGTGGATTTGGCCAGCCTGCAGGGTCTAGCAGGCGCACCGAAGACATCTGCGAGCCCTCCGTCAGCACAGCCCCGGACGTTCACCTGATCAGAGTGAACACCACCGTGGAGAAGCACTATGGCCACATCGTCGACAACGGGCAGGATAATAAGCAGCACGCGAACAGTCCAGTTGGAGTCGAAGAGGAGTCCCGTGCACTGCAGCAGAACGTGTCCTCGATGATGCTGATAGGGTCCTCGGGCAGCAGCCAGACCCGCTACGTCAACTACACTCGCGTGAACAGTCAGACGTCCCTGATCATCACTAAGAGGGACCAAGGTGTTGGGACATCGGGGCCGGATGAGACCCAGCTGGTCGGCAGGAGTCAGGACTCCAGAGGCGACTCGAAGAAGTTCAGGGACTTGGACATCCAGTGCTCCGGGTTCAACCTGAGCTACCACCAGAAGTCGATAGTGTTCCGGCGGTCGATCGAGAGCCTGCTGAAGCCGTCGCCTTCGCAAGGCAGCAGCTCGAGCTCGGACCAGGCGAGACAGAGGTCCCAGAGCAGCGAGAAGGTGCTGGTAGTCCCGGTGGTGTTCGTCGACGGGATGCCGGAGCCCCCTGGTGTTCCGCTCTTCAAATTCGCCAAGTCCGGGTGCTCGATGGCTAAACCCAGCCAGAAAGTGGTCGTCCTGAAGAAAGGTCGCCCTCTGCAGCACAGTAGCCTGCACTCGGACACCAGCGCCGAGTCTCTGAACATGGAGAATCATCTCCAGAGGAAGCTGCTGGCCAGGCAACGCTGGAACAGCGGCCTGTCGCTGTCCATCAGTCGCAACTCTTCGTTGTCCTGCGGCAAACACCAGTCGCAGCTGTCCAACTCCGCTTCGAGACAGTCGGAGAAGTGTCGCAGGACGCGCGGAGACAAGAGTCCGGGCAGCATGATGTCCGGCAGCACTCCCGGCAGCAGGGCCTACTGTTGCTCCGCCAAGAGGGCCGGGAAGAGGGTGATGCTGGGACTGAGGAGCTCTCCGGAGGACTTTCTCCGCGACACTTGAGTCTTTAGGTTATTGAGAGCTGTTTCCAGGACTAACTCTCGGGGATCTTACGGCTGCAGCTGGGTCCTTGCCGAGAGGAGGCAGAGCTGCCTCCTTGCGACAGGGCTGCCTCCTTGAGCTGGGGCTAGCTGCTTGTGGTAGAGCTGCCTCGTTAGGCTAGCTGCCGCACTACGGACATGGTGTCCCTGCGGCCGACTCCTCCGGCTATTGTAAATAAAGATGTGACTTTTCTACAGTTGTATTTGAACCAGAATGGCTAGTGGTACGAATAAACGATGTATCAGTATAGTTGGTGTCTTCCGGATGTCATTCTAAAGTGGCCGGCTGAGCGATGATGCCGCGCAAGATTAGACTACTGCAGACGTTGCACTGGATACTCTGAGACGTGGTAAACGTTTAGAGAAGCAAACGGTGATCTTGGCGTATGTTATAATGGTCACTCTCTTACATAACCTTCAAGAAGTGGTAGCCGCTGGGTACAGGTTTCTTTCGTCTTACTGTTGACTTGGTCTCGATTAGATCTCGAGTAGATCTCGATTAGTGTTAAATTTGTTTCAGATTAGTTCTACATTAGGTCTAGATTAGGTCTAGGTCAGCTTTGACTAATAATCCCAATACGTGCACCTGCCTTGGTCCGAACCACTGCACCTGCTGTCGGGTTCTCTGCAGTCATTTTATACCCGCTCACGTCTCCCCTAAACCGGTTAGCTTCTCTTCGGTAGCAGCGACTTTTCGCGCGGACTAGGTGTTGGTCAAACAGCCGGTGAAAACAAATCCGCGGCTCGGTTTACACAGTTGCATCTGCTTGGCCAGCAAATACGTAGGCCGCTGCTAAAACGAATCTGGTTATATCAGCGGTGCCAGTGACGCAGACGTCGAGAGGTGATAAGTGGCAACGGTGTAATCAGCCGGCCGGATCACAGCCAGTGAACCCGCAAACCGGTTCCAGATCGCAAGAACCTCGGTTCGAATGCTGCTCGGTCGTACCTTTTCCAAAAAGTTAGTAGCAATGCAATTTTCGAAGTATGCAGGATTTAGTACTGGAGTTGTGCGCTCGAGAGTACATCAGTATTTCGTTACAAAAAATCGTAGGACAATCAGGTTTGGCTTACTTCGAAGGCTGAAGCCTCTACTTTTATATGTCGTAACTGATTTTTGGGTAAAAAAATTTTCTATGATGTGGCAGAGGGGAAACGTCGACCTAGAAGACCTAGGAAAGTGACGATGTTTTAAGAGGAGCCAATATTCAGACTTGCACAATTTCGTTAAAAAAAATCGTATGACAATCAATGTGTAGTCATTTTAAAGGCTGAAACCTCTGATTTCAAACGCCGTAACTGATTTTGGGTTAAAAAATTTTGTTGCGATATGGTGACTGAAAACGTCGTCCTAGAAAACTGTCTGGAAAATTGATGATGTCGAAGGATGGTCTATATTCATACTCCCACAGATTAGTTAAAAAAAATCATATGGCGTTCAGAGTGCACTCATTTTAAAGGCTGAAGCCTAGACTTTCTAACGCCGTAACTGATTTTTGGATAAAAAATTTTCCTACGATGTGATCGACGGGAAACTCCGTCTTAGAGGACCTGTTACAAAATTGACGATGTCTGAAAAGTAGTCAATATTCCGACCTTCACAATTCAGTTAAAAAAAATCGCAGGACGATCAAAATTAACTCATTTTAAAGGTCCAAGCCTCTACTTTCGGATGTCGATACAAATTTTCCTGAAAAAAATTTTAGCTCTTCGGTGCGAATAGGTCCACGAATCTCGCCTGGTGTCCAATCGTAAACCGGGGATCGGCCAACTGTTGCGTGACCTTTGCAGCCTCTTCTCCGCCGCGTTCCAGCTGAGACGTCGGCCAAATGGACAGGATCAAGCTGTTCGATCGTTGTGACCCGCAATGAATCGCTAACTTCCTCGATGGTCCCGCGGCTCTTCCAGCTGCTGCGTTTAGCGAAGTTTAAATGGCGGTTTAGGATCAGCCGACGAGTTTGCGAGCAACGGCTTCAGACTTAGGCTATCGAATAACTAGTCAACGGTTTTATCAGCAGCGCTGTCCTCGGAGAAAATAGGTAAAGATAATGCGGTCCCAGCCGACAACCGTTCTTCCGATTGGCCGCTCGCTCCTTTAATGGAAGGCTTCGACCTTATTAAGATCCCAGGCTACCGTTCGAGAGAGCCGAGGGTAGACGAGGGCGCAATTAATGAAAATACGGCCGCGCTCGCGAACAGCCTGATAAATCGTCCGCATCTCCGGCGAGCGCGTTACCCTGGAAAAATTGATCAAAGCGTCTCTCCGCTTCTGAATAATCACTCTGATGGAAATTAGTATTATCTTCATAAAGAGACCTGGAAAGCTCTCAAGACCCCCGCAATTCGGTCATTTAACTTCTCAAATGAGTTGCGATCAATGGAAATTCTGCAGAGCCGTTTGAAGAGGTTGGACTACGTTGCACAGGTCGACTTCGAGTGCTTTCTAGAATTAGAAACAGAGTCCAGAGGCCCTCCGATGGTTTCTCGGTGTTGGCTTAAAAGCACCGAGCACTAAAGTTCGCTTTAATTGACAACGGAGACTACATTTACGCCTCAATATTCGTCTGATGCTCGACGCTGGTGCGGACCGCTGGCCGCATTCCAAACCAACTGCCATCGACATTTGTCGACGATATTTACCGCCATTGTCTGGTCAGTAGCGAGAACTTACAGAAACGTGCACTCGAAGGATTCATTGACCCAATATGAGCACTACATC